TATATATATATATATATATATATATATATATATATATATATATATATATATATATATATATATATTGCTTTAGAATCATTTTAGATGTACAGCTGATTGTGAATTATAATAAAATTAATAACATTAAATATTGTTAGAAACTTTTAAAGCTTGACCATAACAACCAAAACCGAATTAAAACCAATCATTTGTGGGCTGCTATAGCCTTAGCCTGCTGGAGGACTTGGGGGCAACTTTTCATCATTCTGCTTCGTTCAACCTCTGGTCTCTCATTCAGAAGTGTCTGTTAGTTTAACCCATGACTTTATGCTCTATCGGCTTTTTCTCATTATACTAGCTTCATCTAGTTCCTATTTAGCTGTGACATCATCCTGGAGAAAAATATCAGCCGCGCTGCTTCAGTCAACATCTTCGGTCATAGACAATAAGTTGGGTCTGTTTTTCAGTTTTTGGTTCTCCCAGACAGTTATGGGTCCAACATTTACTATGAATAACTGTATTTAGCCTGTCTTTGACATAAAAGGTGGCCCAGAACTTGTCTGGTTAACTTTTTTGTTCAGAGCCAGAGACATTTTCTAACATAAAAAGTATTTATGGATCTGTGCTCCATCACTTTTCTTTTGTATGTTTGCTTCTGTCACCTTTAACCCCAATCAGCCTCAGCAGAAGATGCTCACACTGAGCCTGGTTCTGCTGGAAGTTTTTTGCATGGTGCATGCATGGTCAGTGTGAGGGATTGCTGTAGTCAACAACACAATGCAAACAAATACTGACTGCTCAGTCTATGACCCAATGCAATCACCAGTTTCCCCTTAGAAACATTTCACTAAGCTAACTGGAAGATCTGATTCAACCATCTCAGTAAAGTGCCTTCAAATTACATGTAGTGAATTGGGACTATATAAATAAACTAAACCGAATGTGTGGATCTTGTAGCAATTTGAAGTTGAAGTAGGTTTAAGTTTAAAAGGAGCTTTTTCAAGCTATGCCAAAGGTGTTAGATATTGTTGCCTGCATCACAAAAAAAACCCCCAATTTATTCTTAATATTCAGAGTGAAATATAAAATTGCTTTGGTGTAATGGCTTTTTATTGCTCTGGGGGAAAAGGAGCCCTTTTAACCCTTCCATAACCCAAAATAATTTTCATTATATGGCGATGTGTTGTATAATGCCAATTGGACTCAAATGTTATGCAAAAATGCATTACTTTGCATCTGATGGAATCATATGACGACTGTTATGGAAGATGATAGGTCTGCTGACAGAGCAGAAGCAGGGTTTTTAGGTAATTATTTAGTATATCTAGTCAGGTTTAAGGACTTGGTATAAATCTGTATATTTTAGCTTATTTCCAAACAGCTGTGTATTATTCAGTTTAATGTTTAAAACTAAATCCTTCCAATCAGCACATGAGGTCTAGGTATGTATTTGAGATAGATTATTAGATTAAAAAAGGCAAAAAATAAAACAAACACAGACTATACTGGGGTTTTTTTGTAGTTTTTAATGTTTACAGAGTATTTTTCAAAGAAACTACACCTCCAACCAGCCAAATGCTAATGCTGCATATACAAAGCAAACTGTCTGTAGCTTTTTGTGTATCTACCTTTTAATCCATACCGTATTATAATATACTAACAAAATCGAGTCAATTCCTTCAGAGCCCTTAAGGCCTGAGGAGATACTGAAAACCCACATCAAACTGCCAAGTATAAACAATAAATAAGTGCAAAATGTTTGTTATCTTCATGGGTAATGACAGTTACAATCAAGTTTCTTCTCCACTCTAACATATAATGATCAGATGAATGAAGCAACACTGTTAATAAACTGATGACTAGGAGTCATCATCTTTAGCATTTCTCTTAGACTCAGCAGAAGTTATGATTTACTACCAAGACAAATCTTGAATAAGTGTGATAACACACGTACGGACTCATTCAGCATGATGAGACGGCAGACACGTAATGATCTAATTACTCATAGCATACACAAATTTATCATAATTGATGATGCTCTCCTGTTACTCTTTTTGTTAATTGTAGTGATTTTAATACAGAAATGATTCCTACATATAACACATGCAAAACAGGAAAACATAAATAAGCATTTTTATTTTTTTTATCTGTAAAAAAACTCATCTAGTTGATATCCAAAATGGAACACGTTAGTCTTAACAAGAGTGGAGATGTTGCAGGAAAGTCTACTAAGGTGTCTAGTGGAAAAGCTTGACTGTTTTATTTCTCCATAGAGTAAGCTCTCTTCATTAGTGGAGGAGGGTTCTTCCCTGCTTCATAGAAAGACTCAGGAGGAGGGGAGCTCAAGCAGCACCAGTCTGGGATGCGTCCAGTCTGGTTGTAGTAGTCCCGGGACACTGACCTGCTGCCCAGAATGTCCTGAAGGGCCCCGAAGATGGCGCCTGGGAAACAGGAGAGGCGTAAAAGATTTAACAGATGGAACAAAAGATTCTGGAGAGAAGACGTTTACTGCTGAAACAAACTAATGATTGTCCACAAGATAATTTCTCTATGCACAGGCAAGAGGAATAGCATTTAAACAGGAAATAACAGATCAATCTCATAGAGCACCTCCAAGCCATGCAGTGCAGTTGGGCTTTGCAGGTGGGGAGTGGATACGGAAGTTCTTGCTAGCCAGCACGTTGCTATATTTGGGTTTCTCCACCAGGAGGCGTATCTCAGCTAGCAGGCGATGCAGGAAGCCAGGAAGCATGGCTGTGCCTCCGATCACCACCAGGTTCTCAGAAAGCACTTTCCGCGTGTCAATGGGGCACTGATGAGAAATAAAAAAACATTTCCACAGTTCTGAAACATCGTTTTTAAAGACAAATATTATAAAGATGGAAAAATGACAACATATTAATTGAATAAATGTTGCTTGATAAATGACAGTGACCTTCACTAGAGCGTCGAGGATCAGAGATGCCACACTTTTCTCCTCGTTGTCCTGTTCAAACAGCAGCTCCATCACTGAATCCCTGCAAGACCGGACAAATGAACTAAACTGAACCTGGAAAATGTTATTTGCTGAAAAACGCTGGAAGGAAATGTGTTGTTTTGCAAGCAAACACTGAAACCAAAAAAATAATAATAATAATCCCAGGGCTACCTGATGGATCCTTTGACGTGCAAAATTTTTTCTCCATCCAGAGGATAATCAACATCTGGAGGAGGGGCTGGACGCTGCAAAGACACATCAAAGAGATTTCAGCGCATCCTTAAAGCATGTTCTAACTAACGCTGGTCATTTTGTCTCTTCACCATCGAGTTCCTTTGATCTTTGGTCGTCTTGTACCCGACCTTTCTGTGGCACCAAAAGAGGCTATAACATATTTAGTGCAGACACCCTCTGCATCCTTTAGAGCCATTTTTAATAAGAATTTGTTATCTACAATGAAGAATTATGGATAAATGTTTTCCAGTTTAATATTCCCCAGGTAATAAAGGTTGCTTTAGTTTGATCAGGGGGTCATGGTCTGTCTCATATCATACCAGTGTGTGGCCAATGGAGTGAATCAATCAGAATTAACGGTTGCAGGGTGTAATACAAATAAAAATACATATGTGAGATCAGAGTATCTACCTCTGTAATCCATCAAATAAACTACAGGTTCAGTTCAAAAGAGTTTAAGATAAACACAATGGAATCCAGCAGGAATCCTGGAAACCACCAGCTTAGCAGCTCCTCACCTCTGCTGTACCGTCCAAGTTAAATTTGGCCTCCTGGACCTTAAGGCCTCTCTGCAAGTCACTGACGAAACAAGTTCTGACTGAAAGAGAAAAAAAAAACACACATATATCTATGCAATAATTCACTGAACATCAACAATCTAGACATCTAGACCAAGATACTTGCATAAAAGTTACACCATCTATTGAACCCATGAGTGGGTAGAAAATGTTAACATTAGCTCATTTGATCTGTTTAAACCACTCAAATTAACAGCAATGGCTCATTTCAGGTTAGATCTTTAAGCTTATGGGACTCTTTAATTCTAATTGCTGAGACTAAAACAGTTCAGTTACAATCAATCCCTTAAATGTATTGATTAAATGTAAAAAAAAAAGCCCATTTAACTCACCCTTTATGTCCTCCACTGTTTCCTCTGGGATAGTGCCTGGGGAAAAGATTGCCTCACTTTTTATTGCGTCAATAATAAGAGCTTATATGCTGAAATCATTTAGATCCTGATCTTCTCAAGCTTTGCACGTCTTAAAACAGGTGCAAACTGGTTTATACGTGCACAGCAGATCTTAAAAGACGGGCAAAGTGATTTACGTTTCCAATTCAACGGATGGCGTGGGCTAACCTTTTTCGTCAATGTGCACATCATATTATAAATTATGTGTTAATGATGGATGTGCTGGATACCATGTGCCAAGTCACTTTTCAAATCTAAAACTCAACTGCAGCAGCAGTGATTGTGTCTATTTCCGACGTCTTAAAGCTAAACTCAGAAAGAGATTATATGCCCATGTTGCAACATTTAAATCATCATAAATAACAATAGTAGAATAAAATAAACATCTATGCAGGCAGGAACAAATTAATACAGCAGGACAGCAGACAATCTTTAGATAATTAAAGCAAAACAAAAAGTGATTTAAATGAATACTCTATTCGTTTGTTGTCTCTATACACAATATTTAATGGCTTTTAGACAACCTTCATCAAAAAGCCTGTAAAGAAGCGCATGGTAGGTTGAAAGTGTAAATCTTTTACCTGTAGCAAGAGTTTTTTTTGTTTTGCTTTTTTGTCAGAATGTTCTGGGCTCCCTCCCACAAAGGACGCCAATGTTTAATTTCATTGTTATGGGTTTAACCTTTATTGCAATTAATCAGCTCAAGCAGCAGTTCAGAGGAGATGCTGAAGGTAAATTCAGCTATTTAAAGCGTCCAAATCTGACAGCAGCTCCTGTTGCCATATTGTATTCATTGTATCTAACTTAATTGTTTTCATCATCTTAGTTTTTACTTTTGTTCGTAGCACTATAATACAGGCTACCTATGTAAGGATAATTAATAATTTAATAATGCCGAATAATATTATTGTTATTTTTTTGAGTTTTTAGGGCACTGATGGCTTGTTTTTTCGACAGTAGGCTGACAGGAAAGGGGGCATGAGAGAGGGGTAGAGACATGCGGCAAAAGACCATAGGTTGGATTCGAACCTGTGTTGGCCGCATCGAGGACTAAAGGGCTGGTTATACCCCCGCAGCAGTGTGTCGCAGCGAGCTTGTCGCAGGTATGACGCAGACATATTTGATTTATGCTCAATATTGAAGCGTGGTCTGTGCCATGTTATTTCACACCACAACACAAAAGGGGAAAATGACGAACTAGCTTTAGGTCTAGATACGACAGAGGCGGTGAGGAAATAGGGCCAAGTTTGTCCGACAATGGACGGACATGAGGGCGAAAAAGAGAGTGGATCCGGGTGGAAAAAAGTGTCCCAGCGTTCTCACGCACCTCACTCTTCTAGCTGGTCCAACATCACGAGTCGTTTTCCGCAATTGTGGTCATACAAACAAAAGAAGCCGGTAGGGTCCCAAGCAGGAAATAGAGTATAGAGTAGAGCTGATGTAAATTTGACCAATCAGAGGCTTCCTGTCTGCGGAGGGGGCGGGGACGTCTCTGCGTTCACTGTGACACCTACGCAAATGGTCTAGTTTCGAAGTATAAATCAGCCTTGAGGCCTCCGTACGTGGGTCGTGTGCACTAAGGCTGCGCCACCTGCACCCCGAATATTATTAATATTTCTGAAATAAGTATCATTATAACCTCACCTAGATGGCTTAGAACCTCATCATTCTTTTAGGGCGGCTCTCAAACTGCCAGTAGAACCAACTGTTAATTTCAATGGGCAGAACCAAAACACTTTATTGCCAGTGTTTAGGTCGTCAACTAACAATTATTTTGCTCATTGATTAATCTGCTGATTTTTTTTTTATTGATTGATCAATTATCGGATAGCAAAAGGTTCCTTAAAGACAATTTTCTTTACAGAATTAAACAAGGTGAAACTAAAACGTTTTCACTTGAGGACTCCTGGGTAGAACATATTGACACACAAAAAAGTTAAAATCTTTTCGTAATGAGGTTTTTCTTATATCTCATCCATAATAGTTAGGTTATCCTGAGCTATTTTCTCTATTTGTGCTGCTCAATGTTTGGGCTGCTAGATCACATAGGGACCACTCTTCCTTATTCTATCTCTTTTCTTCCATTCTGCAGTATTTTTTACATTCCACTCATAACTTTATGTTCTCTTTGCTTTTCCTCATCATAGTAGCTTCATCTGGTCTGTTCCTGTTCTGTTGTGGCTATATCCTGGATTGAAATAATCTGCGCTGCTGTCATCAACACTTTTGTTTATAGATGATGGAGCTTGGCCCGTTTCCAGTGTAGTCCTGTTTCTTTTACAATGACTAAAAGAATTGGTTTGGAGCTCGTCTTCCTGGCTGTGTGTTTCCAGGACAGGGCCACCTATGGATCTAATTAACATTTACGTTTTGCATCTCTGCTTTTTTCTGTATGTCTGCTTCTGCTCTAAGGAGGTTTCTCTGTCAGCTAAATGCATGTTTTAGAGTCTCTACACTGAAATTAATGATTAATTGATTACTAAATTAGTCCATGATTATTTAACTAATTGATTATTCTGATTAATTGTTTGAGCCCTAAACATGTAATTTAGCAGCATTTTTTGGAATCTTTGAAGATCAAGCCCTTAGTGGAAAGACAGACATGCTGCTGCAAAGATTAATTAATTCCTTCGACTTTGAGTTACATTTAGATTGAACTGGTTCTCAATCTGGGCTTCAGTAGCTGTGACTACCTAAACTACTAAATTACTGATGGACTTTACATTATGTACCAGAACGCTTATATAACTTTGCTGAGGATAACTTAAAAGCAAACACATGTCATATATGTATAATTCAAAATAAAGAAGAGGATTTACAGGACCTTCACAGGAAACAAGCTCTTCATATGAATAATAAATATCATATTATAGGTAACAGATATTTTACTGCTTTGTGCTCTGATTCAGTATAAACACCATGGAAGCTTTAAATCAGGCACCTATTTCAATGGTGAAATGTAAGCTGGAGTGTTTGCCTTTTATTACCAATGGCAGCTGGAACACTCTGCCCAGTGGTGGTGTCCGTGTCTACAGTGCACTGCTCCACAAGAAACCCATCCAACTCTCTGTAAAAAGAAAGCAAACAAATTATATATATATATATATATATATATATACTAATTTAAATTAGACCTTTTCTCTACATCAAAGGGAGTGCAAAATAAAATATTAATGGGTTATATTTACTTATGAATGGCTTTCCCTCCAAGCGGCAAAGCCTCCCAGGCAGGCAGGATGGGAGTACACTCATAAATCTAATGCAGCAAAGTTAAGGGAGCTATGAAATAAATACCCCAAATGAATCTTGATTAAGTCTTTACAAATAGCAACAATGAAATAACAGAAATACAAAAGGAGAAAAAAGAACAAAAATTAACTTTAACCACCATGTTTCGGATACAATTCCTTTTTTTAATGTTACATTTAAATTAGTTATTTAATAAATGTTGTTATATTTGTTTAATACTGTGAAAATTCATAACAGACTGACTGTTGTGAAGTTTCTACTCAACAGGTGAAGTTTGACATGCTATTTGGAGAAATCCATTTCACATCACTGCTGGTAAAACTTTTCTACCTCTACATTGTAACTTTCCAGGGAAGATAAGTTTAGTCATTTTGTAATTTGAATCGCTAGCTATTATACGGTGGCCACAGATCCTTATTCACCCCGCAAACATGTCAAAATTTCCACTGCAGCACAAATACATACCATCATGTCATGTTTTTTATTTTTTTAAGTACCAGTAGTCCTATTTGCTGGGAAAGTTTTTATATATTAACATGGGTGACATTAGATCCATCCGAGGACCGTCTTATTGCTTCCCCACACCTCTTTAATGTAACAGGGTAATCACTGCTTCCTGCTGTCCTTTAAAGTTTGATTTATTTCTTTTCGTTATTTTAGTTAGTCCGCTCAGGTTGAATTGTTTCTTTTGAGTACTTGTGAGGGCGGACTAACAACTTTCCATTTATTTTTGTTAGCTTCTTGTCACTTCCTGTATGTTAATATTTCTATTAAATTTAAGATAGTTGCATTTTCTTTATATACAGTAAAGATTGGAAAAATTAACTCTGCTTCAGTTTTCTTTCCCTTTTGGACACAGCAACCTTAAGTCTGTGTCAAGAAGGATTAAATTTGCATTAACCCATAGAAAAACCCCTCTCGGACCTGTAACATTAAGGAGAAATGAGCTCGTGCATGCCCTCGCAATGTTTATTAGGCGTTTCCTCCCAGGAGTGAGTAAAGGGTTGTGCATGCACATTTTTTTTTAAAGTGGAAAGAGCGGGTGTCTCGACTTAAAATAATAAAAAAAAAATCCTCCGCTATAGCTTTAATTTAAAAGTTAAGGTAAAATGTTTTTCCAATTAAAGCGTCTTAGTGGACTAAATCTCTCGTGACTCATTGTCAAGGTAACCAGCTCTGGCTACAGAACCTGCACCTCTGCTGGCCATACCTTAACATATAATTCAATAACACAAAGGATAATTTCAGAGGAAGCCACATGTTATGGGTGCCCCATCACATTTATTAACCCAGAACGGCGTTATAAATACTGCTAATAACCTCTTACGAGAATCTCACATCAACAATCCTGGATGTTCTATTATTGTATAAAACATTTACACAAAGGATACAGGAAGCACGAGTGTCTCTGTGTATCCACAGTCCATCACAAGTGCAGAGTTGATGCCTAAAGTCATGACGGCCATGAGGTGACTGGGAGCGAACAGCACAGAGGGCACCTAGAACATACAACACATAACAACATTAATCCAAATGTTTATTTATTTATTTACTTACTTTACAACTGAACTTGTACAATTTTATGAAGCGATGGACTAAATAAGGCTGACGATAACTATTCTAATATTGCCAAAAAGAGTACTTGCATAGTAACTTTTACATCAAAAATCCCCACTGATTAACATTTTTTACTTTATTGTTGTACCTCAAACTGTTTGAAGAAAACCTTGGTGAGGGTCTCCCTGAAGTGGGACGGGCAGAGGATGGACTCGATGATCACCACTCTTCTGTCGCGAGGATTCACCAACAGGTGCCTGAATAGGGTTCAAATATTATTTCATGACGCTGCATTACTCATTTATAAAGGAATAATCTGGTTGGTTTGGTTTAACCAAACTATGCAACAGTTTAGAAACTGTTATTTTTATTGCAGGAATAAAACTTCACCTGAAGTATAAAATGTGGATAAACTCTTTGAGGATAGCATAAAGCTCTTCTGTGTTGATGTTGTACTGCACCACTTTGGTGGCCTGAATGGCAAAGCAAACACCATTAAACCACTTTTATAACTATTCCATACACTGCATACTTACAGCTAATAATTAAAGTTACCTGTTGCTGTCCCGGTTTCCGGATCTCGCTTGGAATTATGAACCTGGGCCCCGTTTCCCCTGCAAAGCCGCATCTGCAACGAACAGATTGGTTCAGTAGAGCTGGCATTCATAGCAGATGTCACAAACCTTAAACAAAGCCTTTTGTAGTCTCATATAGGTGCAGATTGTACATTTTTTGCGTACAGACCATGACAAATTTTACATTTTGAAAAATATTTTCTTGCAGGACCTTAATATACTGTATTTATCTTAAGTAATGCTGTACATGTTTTCCACAGCATTTAAAGAAATGGCCCAAACAGCAAAATAAAAAAGTTTGATAGCTGATGAAATGGATTTTCAAGTTTACCAACAAAGGAAAAATACTTAAGAGTAAAAACATCATTATAAAGAGTTATGCTTTTAATAAATTAACAGAGCCCTCTGTGTTCAGTTTTGTGGGACAATGGATATCATTATATGAAAGAGGAAAACAGCCCTCTAGGTGTTCATGTGACTTTCTTCAAGTTAGTTTCTCTGTCCTTTTGTTGTAAGTTAGGTTCAGTTTAACTAACATCGCACTAAAAAGAGCATTAGACAGGGCTTAATATTAAATTTCCCAATTAAAATAAACAGAGCAGGTTATTTAGGTTAAGATATGGTTAAATAAAAGTGTCCTGCTCAAGTGCTCCTTACTTGGCATCCTTATTTTACCAAGTTTATGTCTCTGAAACGACGTTGCTGTTTACATTTATCCCAAAGTGTAACCGATTGCAACTGGCTAGTTTTATTAAGTAAACCCAAACTTAAATATTGACACATTTGCCACCATATGTAGAATAAAATACAGCAAATGGAACTGATTTGTTAGTAATCTAGCACCTTGCCTAGCCAAAACTGACAGCTAAAGCTAACTTAACATGTTCTAATAGGCTAAGAATGTATGCAACTTACAAAAAAATTTATTTAATACATTTTGATTTCGATGTTGAGCACAGGTGATCGCATTTAACCGAAGTAATAGATTGTAATTACACAGTATAAGCTCAAATAAGGTGATAAATGCAAAATGTTAGCATGCTAACCTGGTAGCGGTAGCATTATGTGCTAATAACATCTACTCACTTTGTGTATGCCGCTCCTAAATCAAGCACAATAGCAGTCTTCTCTCCTCCGCTTCCCAAACTATCAAATATGGGCATTTTACTACACTATCTCCGAAAATGGCGATAGCTTTTAACGCAGACAGTTACGGTTTAGTATGGTATACTAAACAAACTACAAGCTGACTTCCTCTGGGCTTGGATTGTCTCTTCAGGGGCAAGAAGGATTGTCGGGAAAAAATAACTCTAAATGGGGAGACAGAAAGAGGAACGCGGAAACAGGTGAAGGTTTGCACCAATTTTTATCCATTACTTTATAATAATCACATTTTAATACAACCTGTTTCTATTCGACAAGCTCAATCTAAATAAACCCGTTCAATAGAGATTAAAACTCTGCATCCTAAGTTTCTAATTTCCTTAAATAACTGAAACGCATCTGTTGTCCTGGCAACGTTTCCACGAATGGTAATTTAAATATGTAGCTATCGCAAGAAAACAGTTACCACTAAAATCAGCTTCGTAAGTAAAACAAGAAAAGAAAAAAAAATCGATTTATTTTGCTACGTCATCTCTTAGTGTCCCGATTAGAGCTGACCTCATTCATTAACTCAGAGACAGAAACAAGCACAACGGCTTAACTATTAAATTACGTAAGAGGATTAGGGCCACAAAAAACACACAAAAAAGTTTACAGATTTTTAAATATTATTTTTAAATATTATTCAGAATTCTGAAATGATTCAAAATTCAGACTTTGATCTCAGAATTCTGACTTTTTTTCTCAAAATTCTAACTTTGTTCTCAGAATTCTGAAATTTTTCTCAAAATTCTGACATTTTTCTCAGAATCTGCAGCAGATCCCCAGAACCTGAGGGTCAATCTAGCTTATCCAACAGGAAAATTAACGAGCGCAACATCCATATTTTCAAAATAAAGACTAACTATACTTTCCTACAGCCTTTGCTAACAAATAGACGCATATATTTAAACATCCATAGTGTCTAAATTAAAGGTATAGGGAATACAATTCTTTCAGGTTTGAGATCTGGGGCACACATCTTTTTCATTGTCATTACTTACCTACTTTTATCAATAATCCTTCGTTACTATCGGTCTCCGCCAGTCACGTGACTTTTGTTGCTAAGACGCCATTTTAGGTGGAAAAGGCGTGGTGTAAACAACCGCAGCATAGCTGAACGAAGGACTAAAGGCCTGTTTACATAGCAGCCTGTCCAAGATAAGTCATTACAGTTAACATAAGCCTGAAAACAGGGGCGGATTTAGGAAAATCGGTCTCCGCCAGTCACGTGACATTTGTTGCTAAGACGCCATTTTAGGTGGAAAAGGCGTAGTGTACCGCGCCCGAGGTAAACAATTGACGTCACTTGGCGGAGACCGATGAATTGATTATTTAATACATTTTTATTAAAACACTTATTTATCTATGATTTCACTAAAGACTCCTAGATGACTTGCAGAGACACATTATTTTCTCTTTACCCCATATAACAAAAAATCTAGTTTTGAAAAGAGCATGAATTCTGTATTTATCATATTTAATGTTAGTATATTGATGAGCCTAATTAACCAAATGGTTTTTGTTGTAGAGGAGTGGCAACAAAACCTTGCCACTGCTGCCACCATCTCTATTAGAGGGGAAAAATGGTAGGGGTGGCCCCAGGGGTGGCCAATGATTGGATAAGAGTGGCCATGGTCCCCCCGGGTCCCCCATCTAGATCCGCCCCTGCCTGTAATTCCAGGTGAAACATTACCTTCTGCCCCTGCAACAAGTGGACAGCAAAACTGACTGTAAAATAAAGAGGATCTGATACCTAAGAAGAAAAAAAAAACAACATCTTGAAAATAAGAGGAGGATTTTCCTTGCAGGTTGTAAGCATTTGGTGGCAGCACTTAAGCAGACGGATAGAGACAGTGATGCTGAGCTGCAAAAAAAGAAAAAAACCTGATTTCTTCACTCCGCTACACTGAATTCAGCCTCTGTTTGGACAAACAGGATTCATTTACAATTTCTAAGGAAACCTCAGAGTCTAATGCAATGCGATCCATGCTGAGCTGTGGAAGGTAAATGGTTTTATTTTTAGCAGTGTGCGCCTTAGAAAGATTTTTCGCGGATCTGGTTTAGGAGCAGCGTTTGATTTCGGGTTTTTTTAAGGCAGAATTAGAGCTGTCACATTGCAGAAATGTGACTGAGTACCGCAGTGGGAAATTTGTTTACTGACCAGATGCTGGCGTGGCCATGCTGTCAGGTGGTGGGAGGTGGTCTGCATGCGCATCCTGACAGTTGATCGACTGTATTGATCGCAGGCGGATTGCAAAGGCAGGGATCCAGGAGTTTTATAGAAACATTGATCTTATGTTGCATCGCCTTGGTGAGACATTCTTTTTTTTCTCTTGTCTCAGTGAAAAAATGGGCGTCAGTCTGTCATTGTTTTATAGAGGAGATTGTTGCAAAAAATGCATTTGTTCTTTGGTTTAGATGTTTCATTTAATGTGCAGGTTTGCATTCAATCAGCCTTCTGAAGTGGATCCTATAGGATGTAGAATCTGATGCTATTTATAGCAGAAGTGAAGAGGAGCTGAGGATTGCTGTGTCAGATTTCCTCTCTCTTTCTCCATCTGTTTGCCACTTTCCCCCTTTCCTCCCTGTCTCCTTAGCCTCCTCCTCATTCTTATGCTCCTTCTACATTCCCTGCTGCTTTCATCTGTTACTCTGACATGACAGATAATTGGATCTGAATTTAATCCCAGAAAAGCTGTATCCACTGGCTAATCTAAAATGAATGTTACCTTCACCAGCTGCAGCCATATATCTGCTGCCACATGAACACATTTGCTAAGATTCCAAACTATTGCACAAAAAAAAAAAAATAAAAAAAATCAGCAAGATACAGGCAGTCATCTTTTGTAACTAATCAGCACTACCGAGAAATTCAATTAGATTTGGTTTATTTATACAGCGCCAATTCACAACACATGTCATTTTTAAGGCACTTTACAGTCCAACCAGATCATACAGTCAAATTGATTCAAAGTTTTATATCTAAGGAAAACCAGTTGATTGCATTGACTCATTGACTCAGGTGCAATCCCTCACACTAAGCATGCTTGTAGCGACAGTGTAGAGGAAAAACCTCCAGCAGAACCAGGCTCAGTGTTAGCGGCCATCTGTAAATAAAAAAGATATGTTAAACATTTTGACCATATGTCTTCTGATCTTGTTATAATGACAAGGTTCTGAACTTATTGCAGCTTTCAGCCCCACATTTCAAAAGTTGGCTTATTCACAGAGTAGAACAAATTCAAATGCCTGCTTTGATTTGGTGCAGAGGAGAGCCGAATCATTTATGTCTAGAGCTAAACTGTCTGCACATCCTAAAACAAAGCCATGCTGTTGGAAGTGTCGAGTTTTCTGTAGTAAGCAAATGTTGAAAAGCCTTCAAATTAAAATACCTTTGCATCCTGTCTCTGTAATGTGTTGTGCATGGCCACCCCTGTTTTGGCTCTGGAAACATATCTGTCTAGTGGTAATTTTAAACAACCTGTACGCAGATATTCTTCTCACCTAACTGGTGATAAAAGCCTGTTAGCATTGATCTACTTTCTCTTTATTTCTGTCAACAGGTGCTGAGACAAAAAAAAGAGAAGATGATAATGACCTCTATTCTCCGGGGGCTCCTCCTGGCAGAGACCTGCCTCTATGCCTATGGGGCCCCCACCTACGTCCCAGGCTTCAACCAGATGCAGGACAGCTCCTGTGAAGAACACTGTGCCAGCTCAGTCACAGCAGACAGAGTAACCTACTCCACAGAGCCTGTTCCGTTGGACAAAGAGCATGTTACCAGCTTCATACTGAATGCAGCTGCAGGAGGAGGGACTGGCCTACATGGGGGACCTGAGGGGATAGGTCCAGTGACGCAGACAAAAAACGGGGACAGCGCTCATAGACGAATTGGGTTGAGCCCGGCTGATCGAGAGGCACAGAAGAAGATTGAGAGCGTATCTGAAGAGGAAGATATAGGGAGTGTAAAAAAGGCGAAACCTGTTAGCGGTGAGCCTTTCGGTCCAACAGATGGAAGGGGGCGCTTGGACGCTGACATCAATACCCCTGCACGGACTTCAGGTAGTTTTGAGGCCTCAATTACACCACAGATGGATTTTTTCTACAGCCAAAAGAGCAAAGAAGGTGGAAAAGACGGAACAAAACCATCTGCTTTTGATGATGAGGAGGATGAATACTCTGAAGCAACCTTGCAATCTTTCACAGAGCCTCTAAACACTCCTTTATGGTCCCAAAAAATGGGCTCTCTTAGCTCCATTCCACCTTTACTGATGGGCACGCCTCAGGCTTCCACCCATCTGACAGTCTGGGGCCACGATGGACCAACAAAATCATTACCTTCAGATGTCATTTTACCTGAAATCGGACCATTGAACATGATGCCCAAAGATGATGGCCTGGAAAGTCTTTGGACTGAGGCAGCAAGACCCGCTGGAGGTAATTAAAAACTCACACACAGGAACAAACTGTAAGAAATTTATCTGAAGTATTTCATTATGGTCAAAACTTTCTTTTTCTATCTGTTAGTATTGCCTCTAAAGCTTTCATGTTCCAGTAATTATCACTGAGAAATGACCTATTTTTTAGCCAACTTCTTTATTCTCCAAGAAGTATCATAAAACAAACATGTTATAGAGGCAGAGATTGGCTTTGATGATTGGCAAAGAAAGTCTCTGCTTTTCCACGCTTCACTTTGAACCCCAGCTGGGACCCGTGGCAGTCTAATTACTTTCTATTCCTGACTTCAGCTTGAAAAAAAAAAAAAAAGAACATCACAACACCCAGGAAAGGACCTGCGGCTGGGTTTGTTTTTGAAGAACCGAGCACGGTGTCCCGCTTTCTTCCCCACTTCACTACAGCAGAGAATCAGGCCGGTTATTCTTTAATGGATTTAATCTATTAGGAGAAGTTGACACCCAAATCAGCTTGGCTCAAACTATAAAGTAATTCCCCCATATTATCTGTTTCTAAATGTCTTTAGATGAATGAATAGGAATTTATTTCAGACAATTTCTGACAAACAACAATAAATGAATCAACCAAATACCCACAAAAGAGACTAGCTAACATCAACCAAACCAAACACCAATTTCCAAACTAACTAAATTCACCTGAACAAAAACATAAACAAAACCCTCCACCAACTAAACCCTCGGTATATACAGCCATAGAAATGACATTGGTTAATGTAAATAGTCTGAAAAGGGGTATGAAGAAGTAAAACCTATTTTTCATACCCCCTCTCCCTCTAATTCTAATTAAATTAACTCAAATTAGAGTAACCTACCTTAAGTTAATTGAATTTTAAGCTTAGATTGCGACATGTTTTCCTTTTCTACACCTTTTTGGTCTATTTCACATTGTATAACATTGAATTATTTCTCGATTCTGAAGGAAAACTACTAATCAGATCTGAATGTTGCATGTGAAACTAAACCCTAAAAGTTGGTTTTTATTAGTGTCAGTTCAATATTTACCATTAGGTGCATTTATATTTATTAGGATCTGTTTGGTTTGGTTTTAATTTTCCTTTTTCCTTATTATTATTATTTTTTTGCTATTAAAAATATGTATGATGATCTAAAACATTTAAATGTGACTAAAGATGAATAACAGAATTTGTCAGGGTGTAACTTGTTCCTTATGGTGCTTTAAATGCCCATGATGGACTGTCTGATTCAGGAAGGCTTATTGAAAAAAAAAAAGAAATTAAACTTATAAAGAGTCCCAAATCCCACAGTGACAATATATGAAAGGATTGTGAATAAGATATGATATCAAAGATGTATTCAAAATGTCCTGGAATAAACTTCCTTTTCGGTTTTAGATTGTTTCTCTGATTAATTTCTATCAAAGAGCATTTTAAAGTTTTAATTCTATTTTGTATGATCGACTGCCTTAAGAAATGCTTTGAAATGCCTTCAATGCCTTTCATGAATACTAAATGTGCTTCTGTATCTGCTCCATACAGTTGTTCTTTTCCACTGGAAAACATACATATTTTATATCCGTCAGATGTGTTTTTACTAAAAGGCTGTACAAGTCTTACTTGTCAACATTTATTATTTCTATTTTCTGTCCAGTATTGAATCCAACTGATTTATTTGAATGTTCTAAAAGGATCTGAACATTACAGTTAAAATTTCTATCTTAATAACCTTCTTTATAGTGCCAAGTGAAAGTATTCATGCTTTTTGAACTTCTTTTTTGTCTCCGTTTATTCAGAATATATGCGATACTCACAGAAAGAAGTGGATAATTGTGAAAATGAAAACATTTATATGATTTTTACTGCAGCTATGTGCTTTTTGGGTCTGTCTCTATTGGCTTAACACATATAGAGACAAAGACTTTGCCCCAATTTGATATGAACATTTGCAGTATTGCCCAGATCAGCCTTTTTGACCATGTTAAAGAAAATCCTCTCCAAAGTATGATGCTGCCACTACCGTGTTTTAGTGTATAGTGTTAGTAGTCAACCTTACCGTTTGTTGGATCCCCTACAAACAGGAAGTCTTCTGTGCTTCTGTTTGCCCCTCCCTCACCAACCTGTCAGACTTTCAGTCAACAGAGACTCCATATGATCATTGGATCTCGGCAGCTCCTCCAGTTTTTCAGATCAACGCCCTCGTCACCAACCATGTAGTTTAAGTAGATCGCCACATCTTTGTACTTTGAAGCCATGCTTTAGTCGTTCCCCCTATGATGCGGAAATCTGCTCTATGAGATGCTAAAGCTTGGGATATTGTTTTATGACCAAACTCTGCTTTAAACCTCATCACAACTTCTCCCTGACCCTGCATGGTCTTCATGCTGCAGTAGGTTCAAAAATGTTCTGTACAAAGTTTAAATAGTTTTGACTGTTGATTTTCATTTTTATTTTAGTTTTGATTAGTTTTACTATTTCTTAGCTAGCTTAGTTTAGTTTTTATGTGTGGAAAATGTTTAGTTTTAGTTTATGTTTCATTAGTTTAAGTTAAAGATTCAGTCTTTTATGTAACATCGTTTACAAATTGGAGGCAAGGCTAAAAAGAAAAAGAAATAAAATAAATAAAATCCCATATTAGAAACACAAATGACCTGACTGCAATACCTGCCACCTGCTGTTGTAATGCGGTAAACAGAGACCAGAAACTTGACCTCTAATTATGATAAAAAAAAAAAGAAACTTAAGCACTTTCTCTTTTATTTAGTTTTAAGTCTTATCACAGTCCCCTTTAGTTTAATGTTATTTTGTAAAATGTAGTTTTTATCTTTCTTTCAGTCAACAAAATTTTTTTTTTTATTTTTAGTTTTCGTCTTTTCGTTTTAGTTAACCATAATAACGATGGCTTTTCAAATTACACACTAGTACATGTAAGTAATTCAGAGACTTCTGAAGGCTAGTGGTGTCACAATTAATATTTTTTGCAAAGCCACATTAAAAGATTTGGTGTACCATTTATTTATAAATTCTAGGCACATTTTTCCACATAGAAATACTTAAATAAATTTTACTCAATATAATCTAAGTTGATTTTTCTTACTAAAAAGAGTTTATTTAACAAACAAAAAATTTATTTTACTACCAAATTTCTCTTATCAACAAAAGATGCACATTTGTTTTGTTAGTACATTTGACACAGAGAGGCACAGAGTATACAATGATGCACACACAAGGATAATCTAGAGAAACCAGTTAACCTAACAGTTAGATTGTTGGATTGTGGAAGGAAGTTCCCAGAGAGAACCCATATATGCATGGATAGAACATGCAAACACCATGTACTCTGGGCCAGAGATCCTACCTAGAACCTTCTTGCTGCAAAGAAGAAGAGTTACAAACTGTGCTACCATGCGTCCAACAAGATAATATTTTCTATTTCTGACCTAAGCATGGTCAGGCAAGAAAAAAAACACCAAGTTTACTCCTAATATCCACATACATATTATTGCATTTTACTAGTTGGGGAACTTATTTTAATAGTTTTATTAATAGTACCGGTATTTGGATTTACAAATTAATTTTCAATAAAATATTAAATAAAAGGTGACATTTTGAAGTAATTTACAGTAAAACTGACATAAAAGCTGAGGTAACATTTACAAAAGTCCCTTTTTCAGTGCATGTACTGTATATCTACTCCAGCAGACACGTCGGCCCCACTCTCTCAGGGCGAACCAACAGAGGCCACCATGTCATCAGAAGCTCTTCCTCTGATCTTTGAGCCAATGGAGGATCTCACAGAGGAGGGACCTGCAGGACCTGCAGCAGCCGCGGCGGTCTCCCAGGCACCAGTCAGGTCTCCCGGTACCATGGCAACCAAGTTACTGCCTACATTGGAGGGGGACAGGGAGGCAAAGAACACAGACGGTGACAGCCCCTCCAGAGAACCCCCAGTCCGTCTAGCTGACTGGACTTCACCTTGGCAGGCGTCTGGCTCGGAGCTGCTGGAGCCAGTCACTACATTGGGTACCTCTGCTTCACTGCAGGAGACCCAAACTGAGCAGGAAGATAATTCAAGAAAAGGTGAGAGAAGCAATCTAAGTGTGATAAATTAATCAGAATTGTATGTAAGAATCCCAACTCCTTTATTGTCAACATGCAATCATTATGAAAATTTGATGCCTTTAGCATCTGTAGAAATTATAAAAATCTCACTGAATATACAAGAGCAGAGACTTTAAGATTTCCCCTGAAGAGCCCAACCAGTAAACAGTGTCCAAAGGGTTTAACTTTAACATCTTATTCATACAGATTCTGTGAAGACCACAAACAGGCCCCCAGCAGCATCTCCTCTCCCATCCCTCCACAATCCAATGAAGACAGCGAGCCATCAGCTACTGCACAAATCTAAAACAGGACTAGAAGAGATGGAGTCTGAGGGTCAGAAAAGATTTATATATTTTTCATCTTCTAAAATTTTCTATGAACAGTCCCATCTAAATGGTTAAAGTCATTTTTTTCTCTCTCCAGAGGAGCTGGATGAGGATGATGAGATCTCTGAGGAATCGGTGGAAGAAGAAGACAGTGAAGAGGACTTAACAGAGGCCCCTAACACATCCTCCAATCAGCCACCCTACAGCCTCATCCCTCCGCCGCCAGTCTGGGTTCAACGCAACCAAGGGCTGAGTATGAGCACACCAAGAGCATCTTCTTCAAAACTGAAAAAAGTCCCATAAACGCCTTTATCATGTAAACATTATGTTCTTTTTATTCCAGTGCGCAGCTGGGCAGAGCTGATCAGAGAAAAGGTAAGACTGCCCCCTGCTGTCTTCGTAGATCTTCATGCTCCTTTCTTAAATGGAACTGTAACGATATAGCCACAAATTTTGATAGATTTTATTTTTTTCTTTTATAGATAAAATTATATCAAGTCTATAAAGTAAAAAATAAATTATGCATGTTATTAAAAGTTTATTAAACACACAAAAAAATAAAACTAATGAATGTTAGGAGGCTTGCATCTCTCAAAAAGTCTAGATGAAATGGAGGGTCAATGATTTAACATCGAAGGGTAAACAGCACCATGGACACCAAGGAACACAGCGGGCACATCAGGGAGAAAGTTGTTCAGATCTTTTAAGGTGATAAAACAGTAGTTTTATTTGCCAGGTTTGTTCTCACAAAAACGACTTTGATTCTATCTTGCTTTGTATTTAAGGGGATTTTAGGTGTAAATGTAAATCAGACTCACCATTCCTTCAGTGAAGCACAGTGGTGGCAGCATCATGCTATGGCAAAGTTTTTCTTCAGTTGGTACAGAGACGCTGGTGAAATGGGAAAATTGAAAGAGACGAGTAAATGGAAGGCAAAAGGGACTAGCTTCTCCAAAAAGAGACAACAATGGGGTAGTGACTTGCTTTCCATGAGGACAGCGGTTAATTATGTGTTTTAGCATAGCTATGAAGGGGTTAAAGTGGCCTAGTTAAAGTCCAGCCTGCAATTTTCTTTTTCTTTTTTAATAAAAATACTTCTCTATTGTTCTTCAGGCTGGTTATGTCTCTGGGATGTTGGCCCCTGTAGGCATTGGCATCACGGGGGCCCTGCTAATTGTCGGCGCCCTCTACAGCATCCGAATGCTCCACCGCAAACGGAGGAACAGCTTCAAACGCAAGAGGAGGAAGGCCAGACAGCCAGAGGTCAGTATGTCAGTCAGTCGTTGCTCTAGTTGAGCCTCCATTGATTGAACACAACAAGACTGCTGCGTGTGTTTGCTTCTCCACAGCAGCCTCGAGAGCCCGGCACCAGCTGTCAGGATCAGGCCATGCTGCTGGCTGACAGCTCTGAGGATGAATTCTGAGAGGGAATTTTTTTTTTTTTTTTGGGCGTTCTTTAATAGACGCCCCTGTTGGAGGGGTCTGGTGTCTCCATCTGTGTAACTGCATATCCCATCAGCCTTGCCTGTTTGGGTACGACTCCTCTGATATACTGAATGCAACTTGAGCAAAGGGCATAGTGGACATGAGAACGCAGGTCAGCTTTAAAACTCCTTTCTGTTTGCAATGGAAACCTCTCTTTGTCCAGTTATAAACAGTATTTTCATTTGAATTTCAGGACAAAAGGAGGTTGTTTCCTCAGCCGTAAATTTCTTTCACCTGAGTTTTTAGAAACACACAACAGATTCCTCACTGTCCGAATAAATACAACTACTGGATGACTTCCACTTTCCACCACCGAGCCCAACAGTTGGTTGGTAGTATTTATGTTGATACGCCCTGTTTATCCTTATTTGGTCTTAACTGTCCTGCTGTAAAACGTGTTGCTAACTAAAATGCTCAGTCTTTTTTTTTTTTTACTTATAAACTTTACCATTTAGAGTCCAAATGTTATTTTTCTTTACTTCCTGGCAGTGTGTTAAAAAGAACTCCAACCGCCAAAAAATCCTGCAGCACAGGATACATTTGCTGATGATTGAGTACATAAACAAATTTATTTAACTGTCATTATTAACTGTTATATTAATTACATCCTTTTAGTAGCAACAATTATATTTTGGTTTGACTATAATAAAAGTTTGGAATCTGTTGTTGTTTTTTTTGCTCCTAAAATAATTCAACCCTCACAGATTCATTAAAGATACAATTGTTTACGGGATTACGATAAAAAATAAAAAAATGCACCACTGTAAATAGGAGAATAAAACTAAAATTACATAAGTTTTATCCAAATTAATATCCAAATTTCATTTTAAATGGCTGCTGAAGCTTCAAAATGTTTGAACCCTATGCAAACATTTGCAAATCCGAGAGTGATTTATTAGTTTCCTTAGGTGTGTGTGTGAGATACAGTATAACAGCTATGTTTCATTGTTTATTAGAAAGTCAGGAAAATTGTTAATAATAAAAAAATATATATCATTGCTCTGTAAAAAAAAAAAACTTTTAAGGATTAAAAAAAAGACTAAAATGCTGTTGGAAGGATATATGGCAAATTGAAAGTCAGAGGACTAAGGGCTGTTCCAGCTGCATTTGGGAGAGACAGGAGGCCATCGACAGCTGCCTCCAGATTCCTGAGGAGACAGGTGGTCAGAAACCCTCGACTGAAAGGAGGTGTTAGTTTCCACTGTAAAACACACTAGTCTCTTGTCTTGGCTTAAGGTAAATATGTTGAATCACAACCAGAACTTCTTGGGCTTTTGGATTAGGTGGTGTATCTGCAAGACGAAGAAAGAAAAACACTGTTTGCTACTTTGCTTTGTGTGTTTGCTGCAAATCATAAAAGAAGAAATTGCTCTGCTGTGTGGTAGCAATACATGCTGGTCATGAAGGGGCAGAGAAATTCTGAGTATGCAGCCATTACTTAAAGTGATATAATCTTTTTTATTAGCAATTATATGAATATTTCACCCAAATAATAAGATTGGTGTAATTTTGATATATACCATACCTATGTACTTTTAAAAATATATTGATTATTGAGTGTATTTATTTTAATTACATTAAGTTGATTTTTTGAATAATCATAATTATTATGCAATTCAAACATAAAACATAATGTATTTTAAATCAATGCACTCATTAGTAGTAATTTTAAGTAAGTATACTTAACTAATTCTAATGACATAAACCAGAAAATTATGTATTTTAAATAAAATAGATATATTAATCTAATGAATATTCATCATGAAAAGTTTACATAATAGGTTTGCGTAAAAATGATCAACAAAAAAAGTAAATGATAATTTTTATATAATAAAATCACATAAATCTTAAGATTTGGGTGAAATATCTTTTGGGGTGTGGATCAGTAAAATCAGCTGTTTTAAGCCAATTGCATTGTCTTGTTTTGTTGAAGTAGTGGAAAAAAGAACAGAATATTTTGGCCTTTTAACAGCAGATTTAATTTTCAGTGAGGGTTGAAACCTTTTTCTGTGCCACTGCAGATTATCAATTAATCTGATTTAATTCTGATCACATTTATAATATGCTGATATACAGCCCTGGGTGTAAAGGAGAGCGTAATTTCTTTTTTGTTTGTTACCATAATTGTAGGTTTGAATGTGTGAAAGGTAGAGAACTTGAAAAAATAAAAATAACGACACCAACAAAGTTTTGCACAGTTGAGTTCAAAGCTATTTATTCTCAGTTATTTAACAGTAGCAACTATTTGTTGAATATTTTTCTGCTGACCAGAAAGAAGTAATAAAAGACTCTTTTAAAGTCTTTTTTTTTTTGCATGTATTTTAGATTAATTTATAGATTAACTCAGTAGCTTTTGCAATATCCAGCTGATCATTTCCTTTCCTCTTTGCATGTTTTGAATTATTGTTTCTGTTTTTTGGAGGAAACCCCAAAATAAGCATTTTCGTGCAGAGTCTGATGTTTACCTCCAGTATCTTTGTTCCTGATAGCGTTTTCCATGACCAGTCTTGTGTCCAAAACGACCTGTTCAGAACTGATGAGCAAACACTCTGCTGTTTGTTCTGATAAAGCTTTAAGAACTGGAGGTGAGATTAAGTTTGCCTTGCTGAGAGAAACAGAGTCCTCCTTGGCTGGCCTCCAGTTTACAGAGATAAGCCTGATGAAGAGCCTGCTGGAGTCAGAACCTTGAGACGCTGACACCGAAGCTGAGTTCATACAAGCTGCTCAGACTCATTGCAAGCCTTTGGTAGTGACCTTTTGGATGTGCGATGCTGAAAACATCAGGAGGCCCTCAAAAAAATACAACGGTTTGCAGCAAAGGACTGAGATTGTCATAATATCAAATCATGATTTTGCTTTCATCCTGATTTATAATCTTCATTTGCAAAAGATTGAAGTTCTTTCCTATCTGTTGTCTTCTTTTTGTTATTTTGGATATAAATGTTTATGTAAAACAAGTAAAACACTGAACAAACTGTAAACAGCTCAACTAGACTCCTGTTCAGCCATGAACAGGAGTTTAAATTCATTTAATCAATAGTATGAAAACATCCTTAAACATCATAAATCTAAGTCCCAAAGTAGGAAATGTCTCCTAAGATTCATTTGGATCATGTTGAGGTACTATGAACTTCCCATCAATATGCAGTGCCTTATGAAAGTATTCATACCTTGTACTCTTTAACACTTTGTCATGTTACAGCTACAAACAATACTCTATGTTGCAGGAATTTTGTGGAAAAGATTAAAATTATTTAGAAATGAGAAAAAGAGAAACAGTTAAAAGAGAAATTTTCTATATGATCACATCTGTTTAAAAACAACCTTTTTTTTTTTTTCAAACTATTTATTGGGAATACAGCCAGCATATGAAGATGGAGCTCTGGTAGAATGAATGTAAAATTAATTATCTGAGCCATATGAAAAACCGGAAGAGGAAAACGAATACTGAAGATTACAGCAAATTGACCATTCCCAGTATGTGGCATGATGGTGGCAGCATCATGCTGTAGAAACACTTAACTTAATCAAGAATTAAGCAGGCCAGAGATAATGGGAGGGGAGCTGAGGAACCTTAAAAGGATGTAAAGACCTGATGGCTTGTAGTGGCTCAATTGGAAGGGCCGAACACCAATACATGCCATTTGTAGCTGTAACCTGAATAACTTTAAAAAGCTCAAAGGGTGTAAATACTTGTTTAAGGCACAGTGTGTATGCACATTATTTGCTTTCATTGCCACAGGTACAAGCTATTTTACAACTGAGTAAACTGGACCCAGATAATGTTGTACCGATAGGCTGAAGATGCAAACAGGACCCTGCAGGGGTCTGCAACTTGCTGTGGAGCGCATCTTTTTGGACTCTCTGCAATGGCTTTCGATAGTGGTTAAAAAGGATATAAACAACTTACTAGTGTACTGCAATAACAAATGTCATTCTTAGAAGCTTTCATTGTTTTTATAAAGAATATTTGAATTGAATTTTCATAACAGAATTACATTGAAAGCTATTTTTCTTTTAAATAGCTTGGAAATTGTCTTTCATTATAATTTTTTTAATACCCTCTAAAGTGAATTCATGCTTGGTTTCCCTTATTTTGAAAAGCTAAAAATACAAATAAACTGCATTTGGTTTAAGATTGAAACAGATGTAACAAAAATAATAAGTAGATTTAAATAAAAAGCCATGAAATATTTTACGGATCTAAATCATTTTTGCTGAGCTGGACTCAAGGCGAAATGGCTCTCTGCATATGAAAGATTGCAGACCCCTGGGCACCTGGAAAAAAAAGAGCCAAATGTGCTGTTTCTAGAATATCTGTTTCAATCTGTACAGAATGCTCTGTAAATATAAATGGTTGTTGTTTTGCTGTGATCACCTGAAGAAAAGCTGCTGTAAAGAGCCTCAGATTTAAGCAGCTCAGATATCTGTTGAATACTTTCCTCTTTCATGGTAACAGAAAGAAAGAACCGACCTTCAAACGTCTCCTTGGACCTCCCAAAAGCTTGCTGTTAATGATAAGAAGATTTAGTGGACTCTAAGCTCGTAGAAATTGGATTCCTGGGTCCATTTCCCAATGATAACGTTGGTTGTGCACAGCAGTTATGTAAATGACGTCATACGTTAATGACCAGATGTTTTAAAGGTAATTTATATTGGTTTGTAGACAAGTTGCTGAAACGAAAACAGGCTGAACACAATCAATCCTTTTAAAACATGCAGCATAAAAACACTCTGATGTAGAAAATAACTCTGGACTATTATATTTTCCCCCTTTCTTCATCTTTCATTTTTATATAAATCTTGCCTGCAAAAAACACTCTAAGGGACATTAAATAAATTGCTTTCTCCAAGTTTGTTTAGACTGCTTTCAAAGAGCAACATGATGACTTTGGTTGAAGAACTAAATAAGGATTTGGGATGATTTTAAGCAATAACTCATACGGTCTGATAAGAAAATGTTCTGTTATGATGATCTGAACCTTTCATCCGCTGCGTTCTGCCTGTTCATATGCAATAATGTTTTAATAGGAGTGTGATGTTAAATGTTTATTGTCTCTGTAAATATGAAGAGCTGTGATTTTTGGAGATGTCTGATTCTATCAACCACATGATATATTGTTTATCTGTAACTTGATCTTAATTAAAAAAAATAAACTGTTGTCAATTCTCTAATTTATAACTGCTTATTTACATAGAAGAACCTTTTACCATCGTGTCAGTGATTCAACATCATATCCATTTATTCTAAAACAGGTTTTATGTGTAAAATTGTCCAAATAAAAGATTGAATTATGTGTAGGTTTAGCCAATGACAGGAAAACATACCCTCAGTATCACTATACCACCACCGTGCTTGACCATGGGGCTAGTGCTCTTAGGATTTAGATAACCTGCCCCCTGGGTTTCTAACTTCCAGTCATCCTTGAAGGAGTCTGCTTTTTGTGAAAGGGTTTCTTTCTTGTTAAGTATCCTCCTCCCAGACCACAGTAAATCTGACGAAATTGTATTTAAAGAATTCAGTTCATGGCAGGTTACTTTTTTGGAGAGATTACTAAATGATCTTCCCATAGCCCTGACCTCAGTACAAAATAAAAAAATAAAAAGTGACCAACCTATTTAAATAAGCTGTACCAGTTCTGATCAGAAGAATGTTCAAAGATTTAGTTTGAAGGTAGAAACTTAGTAAGGAGCATTTATCCAAATATAAGTATGGATATGTGTATAGATTTGAACTTTGAATATCTTTCATTTATTTTTGTTTTAAAAGAAAACATTAACCCTGGGATTTATATTTTGAGTCCATTTCAAAAATAAAGAACAGTTCAAATTCATTTTAAAGTGCTCCAAATGACAGGCCTGTGCTGATATCAAGCATATGAACTGCTGACCGGCAGTGTTTGTGTGTGTAATGGTTTAATCCTTGTTCCAGACAGCACACAAGACGAGTCAGCTTTACAGCATTAAAAAAAGAAATCAAATAATTTATTTCTGTGTTCTTTTTCCACATTAAATAAAAGCTATTGGACATTTCCAGATCAAAATGAAGAAAAGAGGAGGACATGAGGGGGGGAGCGGAGCAGGGGGGGGAAACAGACATGCAAAAATAAACGTTTTGCTCTTCCCCCCTTTTTTCCTGCTGCATGTGTCTCGTTGGGAGGCGGTGCTGGCCATCTTTGAAAGGCTGCAGGAACCTCTGCATGGCTGGTTGCTTGAGCCATTGACAATCAGAGGGACGCGTCTTTTTTTAGTCAGGAATTGTTGGGCTGGCTGACGCTTTAAAACACATTAATGTGCACAAGTTATTTAATAAAACTAAAGCAATGCCATAAGCTGTGGCTATGAGCTGATGATGACAAAGCCCTTCAGTCTGTGTTCATGACCTGGATGGAGGCGTTTGGCTCTAATGCCCTTAAAAACAAATCAAAAGAAGTTTCCAATTGTTACAGAATTGAGGGTTGTGAAAACTGATCATTTTCTTCAGAAAAACACCAACGGCTCAGAAAGACGTAGAAAGGTTGACCACATGATCTTCTTTGCTCTAATCAGTTATTTGAAGGGGAGGGGTCCAACAAGGGGACAGGGGATTCAAACCTTCAGAATAAACCCAGAGGTTACAGAAGGTCACAATAAAAGGAGAAAGGGTCTAGATTGTTCTTTTGTTCGCTCATCAGTCTCACTGAACTCAAAGGATAAGATTAGCACAGAAATTAAAATAAAAAAAAGTCGAGTCAAAACGCTGTCCAATCCCACGCATAATAAAAAAAAAAAAAAACACCAAAATACAAATCTGAATCAAAGAAAACAGGTGATCGATCAGTGGCTTCAAAAACACACAGGGTGGCAGCTCTGTTCTGGGCTCCTATAGAACCATCTCATCTAGAATAAACCATAAAAAGTAGACAGGTGCATGTAGTGGAGATGTCAAAGAAGTGCTCAGCCATAACATCATGAAAGTTTCTAATTAATACTGATGTTGGTTTCATTAGACATGGGCCGGTTCCCACAGAAGGTAAAACCAGCTGCATTTATAAACAACTCTGAACCTAAAAGGAACTTTTTCCACCTGCTGTTATTTATAAAAAACATGGAAATTATGTGGATTATAAGTCATAGTGGTATCTTTATAATTCTAAATTGGGATATTTAGGCTTAGTCTAAAAAGACCTAAATAAATTTCGGTTAAATTTAGTAGTTGTTTCCAAGGACTTCTGCTGAATGAGATATTACAGATCTATTTGTGCTGTTCTGCTATTTAAAGAGTAAAACCAGAACAACAAGTTGCTATTAGATGGTGCGTTTAGTCAGCCTTGGTAGTTTGAGCCTGGATCTGTATGAGAAGATGATTCTACTGACTATATTACTATGCTGCTAACTATATTTAGCAGCACACGTTGGAGATCTGTTTTCATCCATTTTCTGCGTTCAAGCACCAACATGCCCATAGATATATACTCATATGTATATATTTTGAGTTGAAATGACAATTGCTCTAGCGCTTTTGACGATACAGCCTATTTCGCCTTATTTTTGTGTTAAAACAGTAAAGATAACTGTTCAGAAGGATAGATTTAGCAGCTGTTTAAAGCAGGTAGAGAGCGTTTACAGGTTACACACAAAAGCAACCTTTACTGGAGCTGAGAAATGTAGAACTCAATCAGGTAGTTCCTCACAAAGCTCAGACTGCCATGATGGAATGCTTACATTTACATTATTTTATACAGGGCTCCACATTAAATAGGCATCTCTGGGTTGCATGGTGGACTTCAACTTTCCAAGTTGAAATTTTAGGCCACCATAGTTCAACAAGCTTGATTTAAAGCCACCTTACCAACAATTTTTTGTTTATTAAAGTATATTTTTGATAAAAACATAGTAACCTCCTTCAGCGGTTATAGGCATAGTAGAGGCAGGGTGGATTTACTCAATGCTCCTTACAGCAGGGGAAGACTCCACCACTGCCATAAAGAGGCATTTCAAAGAGTAGGAAAATAACTTTAAATTAAAAATACTATGGTTTTATATTACAGAAAAACCTGAAAGTGGTAACCAGCCCATGTCTACTTGGTAATAAACTCTTCCAATAGAGCCACATGTCAGCATCCTGTAAGTTGGAGGCATAACGAGCAGCGAAGGCCGATTTAGTCATGCAGATTGTTGGAACCAAGCTGATCCAAACCGCTTTTAAAGTTGCAGGACGTACTCTTACTCAAACACTGCAACCATTTAAAAAGTAGGTTTATCTGACATTTTTCTTTAAAAGAAAAAAAAATAAGCAGCTGAAGCATTTCTTCACCAATTAGTGTGAACTGGAGAACTCTGAAGGTTCTGGAGGTGTGTTGAGTTTCGTATGCCCGAATGTACTGTGGTGAAATTCTTAATAAAAAAAAAAAAAGAAAATATGATCTAAGAATACTCTATTTTTCTTTTGTCCTTCCTTTATCCACAGTTTAAATACACACAGCATACTCAAACAGGAATCCAGCATCGGGAACAGAAGTGCAGAACCAATTCCTGTCAGTCCGGATGGACAGAGTGGCACTTGAGAAAGGGACTGCTAATGTCAATCAGTAAACAGCTTGGACATATAGGACCACACCATCCTTGGCAAAGAGTCTCTTCTGGGGGGATTTTGCAGAGGCTGGCAGTGTATCTAAGGGGGGGGGGGGGACATAAACTTTGTAAATCATACCCTGAAATGGCTGGTTATAGTGATAGACATCGAAGAGGAAAAAAATAAAGGTGGTTTATCCCTAAGTTGGGTCAAGTTTGAGGTGATGAGGTGTGGATTGATTTGCTTTGAACAACTGCTCTGGACCAAACGGAGGAAGGAGAGATGATTTCTCCTCCTGCTCTCACAGTAAAAACAAACAGAAGCACGCGTGATTTACAGGTTCTGGTCCAGATGATGGGAGAGACAGCAGCAGGGCGCCACGCCCGGAACAAGAAAAACAAACTCAAGAAAAATAATACATACAGTGCGCATTCAAGCAGTCACCCAAAATTCAGTGAAACCAACAGCAGCACATACAATCAAAAACACACACACCTGAAAAAAAATATATATCATGTGGCAGTACAAACACACAAGTCAGACTAGATCTTTAACCCTCCCCAACCGAACAAGGCTTTAAAAAAAAAAAACAACCCAAAAATAAACTTCACAAATATTTTCCTCCCGGTCGCTCTTTGTAGCCGCGCTTCCTGCTTTCCCGTGTCCCTTTGCGTGTCGCTTCCTGCAGGTCTGTTTAGTCCGTGGTTCTGCAGGATGATTTGGTGTGGTGCCCCTGTCACGTCACAGTGCGCTGAGGCGACAGCTCCGTCCCCCGAGGCCGCCCTCTTCGTAAAAAATAAAAACACGGCTGTTGGCAATTCAGTCTTTTTCCACCCAAGTTGTTTTTGGACATTGAGGAGAAAAGGAAGGTGTCTGAACACGGGTGGGTGGGTGTGGGTGCATTTGTGTGTGTGCTGTGTTAATGTGGGAAATGACCAAAGGGCAGAACTCAGGCTCTTGAGCTCCTAGTGTTAGAGGTGAACAGCACCTGGAGACCCGCCTCCCTCCCCCTCAGTCCCGTCTGCTTCTTTCTCTCTAGCGGAGCCACAGTTTGAGCCGCAGCGCGTCCACTCCGTTCAGGTAGTATCTGAACAGCCGCTTGTCTCTGACAAAACCCAAGTTCTCGTACAGCTTCAGGGCGGATTTATTGGTGATCTCTGTCTCCAGGACAACCTGAGGATGCACAAAAAAAGAAAAATAGAAAAAGGATACCAATATTACAAAATTTTTCATGATAAAAAATGGAAGAGAGGTAAAAAGAGAAAATCTAGACTTGACTATCTAGACCGTATCAGGAGATGGATGGACCTAAATTTCCTCAGTTTTAAACGGGACAAAAAGGAAGTCTCTGTTTTTATTTCCTGCAATCTAAACAATGTTCCTCCTTTGGATCTCTCCTCTTTGGTGCCTTAGAGTTTCTAATCTAGGAGAAAAAATGGTTACCTTGCAAGTAAGATGAACTGTCGCGATATTTGTCGATTCACAAACTCTCTAAAATACATCTTGCCAGAAGCCATCAGATGCATCATCCTCTAATACCCGTTTCCCACTGGCTGAAAAACCTGTTTAAACCAGGGAACAATCGCCTTGTAATGGCAGAGGAAACAGCTCACTGACATGTCTACCCGGATCAAACGACTCTACAAGCGACGTGTTAAAAATCGCCTCGGCTCTATTCGATATGCTGTGGGAACACCAGACCCGCTAAATTACGTGACATCAGTGAACACAACTACGCTTCTGATCTAACAAGCAGAAACAACTCCGTCTACGTCCTTTGCAGTGACGTGTATGACATCAACCAGATGTAGAAGGTAAAAGAAAAACAACATAGTTGTGCACTGCAAAAACGTTATGAAAATGTGTAAAAATGTCTAAAAATAAATATTTACCTTTAATTTTAGAAGGAAAATAAGATGATCTGCCAATGGAGGGAGCATGTTTACCTTTACAATAAGATAAATCAGATAATATGCACTTGAAATACGAGACTGCAGTAGTTTTTTTCTTATTTTAAATGTATATTTTAACTTGTATCTGGATGAACTGTCACACAAGTTGAGAGCTTGTCACACTGGTTGTGTGGCTGGTGACTCGGTACTTAATCACCTGATGTATGCAGATGATTTAGTAATATTTAGCCCTAGTACTGCTGGGTTACAGCAACTACTAAACATCTGCTCTGAGTATGGTGTGGACCACGACATAAAGTACAATCCATCTAAAAGT